TTCTGGAAACCACCCCGCGTGGTGGTTGCGGTGTTCCCCCCGCGACCGTCAAAACGTTGGAAACCGCCGCCACGACCGCGGAAAGCGGGGGGGCGTCCGCTGCCTCCGTCAAAACGTTTTTCGGGGGGTGGTCCGGCGTTCCTGCCCTCCTCGTTGTACTGCCGGACCAACGCCTCTGCCTCCTCCCGCTGTAGCTCCACGTATAGCACTGCGTCCAGGAATTCGCCCGCCTCCGGCAGCGTGAAATTGGCTAAAACAGGTGAAAACACTAAAAAAAAAAAAGGCCCCCCCCCCTCCCCAAAAAAACCCCTCCCACGCCGAGGGTCCCACCTTTCATCTCCAGCACGGCGTGATCCGGCACGTCTTTCCCCTCCTCGTCGGTCCGTTTGACGGTGCGGTCCCTCAGGTCCTGGTCGGTGGGACAGATGACGATGGCCTTACGCTGGAAACCCTCGAAGGGACGCATTTTTCGGCGCTGGGCCGAGCCATAGACGTTGGTCTGCCGGTGGGAATGGGCAGAAAAAGGTTGTTATTGCTGGTTCGGGAGGTTTTGACTTTTTTTTTTTTTTTTTTCCCCTCCCTCCCCAAAAACGCCCAGAGGTACTTCACCCTAAACCAGAGGGAGCATGGAAAGAAAAACCCGTTTTAGACAATTCCCTCATCCCACGCGGCACAGGACCATTTTGGGGAAAAAAGCGGCTTTTGTCTTCTAAATAAAAGTTTTCAGCAGGGAACAGAGCAGGGACGGGGAAGAGAGAGCATATGGCAAGAAGTTGAGACGCTTTTTGGGGACGCTGGGTGTCACCCATGGGTTGGGCTCAGTCTCCTGGTGAGGGGGACGCAACACCAACGGGTGTGGGATGGCGAGGGATGTCCCGTGGCAGGCACAGCGAGGGATGCAGGAATGGGAGGACGGTGACGGACATCCCGTGCCGGGGACAATGAGGAATGTAGGGATGAGAGGACCCCGAGAAACATGGGGACAGGGACACTGAGGAATATCCCACCCTGGGGGGGATGTCCCATGCCGGGATGGGGACGTCCTTGCCACCCTACCTGATCGAGGATATAATTGCGTTTCTTGCGGGCGGCAATCTGGATGAGGCGGTTGAGGCACTGCGTTGCTTGCTGGATGAGGACGTCCCAGCGTCCCGCATAGTTGCGCTGGCGCCGGAGACCCATCACCTGGGGAAGAGGGGACGGTGATGCCAGTTGGGGGCCCGGCAGGCACGGCGGAGGAGACGTGGGTGATGCCTTACCCTCATTTTATCCATGATGGCATTGGTTCCCAGGATGTTGTACTTCTTGGAAGGGTTGGCAGCCGCGTGCTTGACGGCCCACGTCGTCTTCCCCGCGGCAGGCAAGCCCACCATCATCAGGATCTGGGTGGAAAGAAGCAGCATTGGTGTCACGGCTAGGCCCCGTGCCATCATCTCTTTCCCCCCGCCTCCAACCTCATCCTGGCAGCTCCGCACCTCGCACTCGGCTTTGCTCTTGGGACCAAGGGTGCCGCGGACGCGCTCGGCCACAGGCAGGTGTTGGATGAAGGTGAAACCGGGTGGGACGGAGAAATAGGTGTCTTCTCTCTGCCCGAAGTTGAACTCAATGGCGCAGTTCTTCACCAAGACGTGGGGGAAGAGGGCCCGGCCGCCCAGCAGCTCCTTCCGCACCCGATAAGCCACCCCCAACCATTTGCCGTTCTTCATGAAGGACATCTCCACCTCTTCCCCGCACTCAAAGTCCTGCAGTGGGGATGATGGTGAGACCCCCGAGGCGGGGGGCAGCGGGGCTGGGCATGCCGGCGGGACACAGCGGACGGCGAGGGGACTCACCACCAAGCAGGCGATGACATCATTTTCAGCGAAAGTTTCCCCGTAGTTTTCGAATTTGCAGTTAGTTGACTTCTTGCCGGTGCCACCGTAGCCGTAGGAGAAAGGCTCCTCACCTGGGTAGGGGGGTGGAACGGCCAGGCCGTGCTCAGGCTGGGGGAAGAGCCCCCCACCACTGCAGACCCCAAAACCCCAGCGGTGGCAGCTGCCTGCACCCTTACCCAGCTGGGTGCTACAGGAATCCAGTGACCAGCCCACCCGCACCACATGGGGGTCTGGCTCAGTAGAAGGCAGGTGCTTAACGGAGATCTCCTCATTAACCTGGGAAGAGAGATGAGTCGGGGACGTCGTTGCTGGCGCTGGGACGCCTCGGCGGGACCCAGCGTCGCTCACCTTCATCTCATAGCAGACGCGGCCCTGCCGCGCGCCGTAGGTGGCACGGGCGCCCGACCAGAGGTAGGCGAAGCCCTCAATGGTGAGGGGGTAGCCGCTGTACCGGTCCCGGGCGACTTTGAAGTGCAGGTCGCAGTTGTCTGGAGGTAAGGGGTGGAAGCCACGTGTCAGGCTCCCCAACCAGGGAGGGGGGGGGTTTCTCCTGCCACCCCCCTGCCACTTTTCGGGGCACTCACAAGTATCGATGGCCACCAGCGTGTCGTCGAAATCCTCCTCATCATCCTCGGCAGGCGGCTGCGGTGAGCGGCCCCTGGAGCGGAAACAGGGAGGGCTCAGCACAGCAGAGGGGTGAACACACTGAATTGCGGGACACCAGATTTCGGGGAGCACTCACCTCTTGTCCTCGCGGTGCTCGTAATAACCCCGGCCCCGCTGCTCCTCGTACGGCCGTTTGCGGGGCTGCGGTGGTGGCAGCCGGGGCTGCGAGGGGTCCGGCGCGCTGTAGCCACCCGGGGGAGCGTTGTAGGTGGGGGGGACAGGGGTGCTGTAGGCGGCGGGGGGGGGCCTGTAACCTGGGGCCGGGGCGCTGTAGCCGGCCGGCGGCGCGCTGTAGGCAGGAGCGGTGTAGCCGGTCGGCGGCACGCCGTAACCGGCCGTGGGGGGGGTGTAGGTGGGGGG